CAGCAGCAGCAGTAGTAGTAGCAGCAGCAGCAGCAGCAGTAGTAGTAGCAGTGGCATTAGCAGCAGTAACAGCAGCCGCAGTGTCAAGCGAAGAAGACGTCAATGACACGTAGGGCGAGCTGGGTCGATTCTTTGTCTGCTGAGAATAGAAGACTGCCAAACTCTGTTCTCAATGGCTGGGAGAACTACCGAAAGTATAAGAAGCCAGATCGAAAGGAGGAGAAGAGCTACAAAGCTTTTAAGGTCCCTCCCAAAATTGCAAGTCGAGTTACGCGCAAGGTTCTTCGTTTCTCGACAGAACGTTTATGTGCCACTATAATTTATGTGTCGATAATCACTTTATTTATTATCGTAGAACTGGTGTGTGAAATTTGAGAGATGACAGATTGGAAGCGTGCAACGTCATTGCTGTCACGTTGTTGTCATTTCAAGGAACGCGTCGTAACGGTTTCAGCACTAATGATAGGTTCTTTCAATAGAAACATCGATCACTGCAAACCAAAGTTCACTCAACATATATACTAACTAGCTATCTAAATCCTTAAAATATTTGTATTCTATTCGATTATCGTTTGATTGTGCGTTATGGTTGGTTATTGACTATACGTGGGAGACGTTTCTACGCACGCAGGAAACCCGTGACAGCGCCACCTACCCCGGATTGTACGAGACGGAATTTGAAACGTCGGTACCGATGAGCACCTACCTCGTCGAATTCATCATCGCTGATTTCGGATTCGTCGAGAATATGACGGCCAGCGGTATTCCGGTAATAAAAGCATCTTACCTCGCGTGTGTTCGTAATAGTGTAGACGTGTAGACGTGCAAGACTACGTAGAACGAACACCTGTCTATTGTGGATGCTTTGTGCGGGTTTTGTCTTGAATAATTCTTCTATGCTACAGGTTTGACTATATGTGTCGTATATGTATACGGTATATGTATATATATATATATGCATATGATAATGTCCATGTGTGCTGATTGTTCCTTTGTCTACAATATCTGTGTAAACCAACGATGTAATTCGATTACAGTAACGGTGTGTTCTTCCCTCTTCTTGCCCTAATGTATTGAGTGTCAGTGTTAATGACTATATCATCGAAATATATTGAGAGTCTAACCAGTATATAATTTCTAATGGAATGAATGTTCTTTGCTCCCACAGCACAGAATCTACGCGCAATCTGGGCAGCTGAACAGGACCGACTATCCGCTGTGGTTTGGCACGAACACGCTAGATTTCTTCGAGAGCTACTTCAATGTCCCCTACACGCTTGCGAAATTAGGTGACGTTACACGTAATATCATAAAGACAAAGTTGGTAACGATGTATGCCACGATCGGAGCCTAATGGGGTGTGGGGAAAGGCATTCAGTTGTGTAGCACGAGAGTCTCGGAGCCATATGTCCAAACGAAATCCGATCGTATTTCTGTAAAGCAAAAGCAAGTGCGAGTGCCATTACGCATCGTCTATCCTAATGATGGCTTGCTTTTTGGCAGCAACAGGTTGATTTTTACTCTCAATTGTTACTATAACAACATATTGTTGTCACATACCTGGGTTGGGATTTTACGCACTCACTATTATTTATCATTGTTATTAATTATTATTATTATTATTACCATAATCATAATCATCATTATTGTTATCGTTATTATTATGTATGTGTGTGTGTGTGGTTCACTGCTGCAGATGAGGTAGCGATACCAGACTTTGTGTCGGGAGGCATGGAGCACTGGGGAGTGATAACGTATCGCGAGTCCAACCTGCTCTACGACGACATGCACTCGTCAACGTACAACAAGGAGCGCGTTGCTATGATCATCGGTCACGAGATCGTACACCAGGTTTGCGATGATCCTTTGGCTTGCGTTCTTCTGTAATCTCTGCGGCTTCTCCAATTAGGAGGGTTTGGAGAGTGTAGATAATAGGGGCCCGGAATAGCTTTGGTATCTTCAATGTGCATTCTTCTATTCTCTTTGTGGGTTCTTTGATGGGAAAATTTGCACAGACTGTAGGGAGTAGATTTGGTATCTTCAGCATGCATTATTTTATGATCCCCAAGGACTCTCTAATCAAAGAATGTGAAGACGGTAGGATCCTTTTACAAGATTACGCATAGTAATTAATGGACCGAGTCAAGATCAGGGATAACGTTGAATGATTATGTTGCAGTGGTGGGGCAACCTCGTCACCTGTGATTGGTGGAACGACCTGTGGTTAAACGAGGGCTCGGCGCGCTGGCTGCAGCAGATAGTAGCGGACACGTTCAACCCTGAGTTTGAAGCGGTAAGCCTCACTTTTTACTTCACTATATATATTCCTCCTGAAACATGCCTGGGGGGGGGTAATATTTCTGGGGAGGGGTCCGTAGTTTTCACCAGATTCTCAAAGGGGCCAATGACTCAAAAAAGGTGAAGAAACCCTGCTATAGCCATATCTTCTACAATCACTGAATAATTGTTAGATTTAGAGTCATGGTATGGGTTAGGTTATTGAGTTTGGGTAAGAGTTTGGAAGAGTATTTGGAAGTTGCTTTTAATTTTAGTAAGTAAAGAGCCATTATACAGTGTAGCAGGTTTGTCAGATTTCATCGTCGCTACTTCATTTGTTAACTATGTATACTGTTGTTTTCAGTACAATATATTTATATCGTCCTATCTACTCGGTGTGTTGGACGTTGATGCCACCGTTAATTCGCGTCCCGTTTACGTGGCCCCATCTGCAGTCGAACATCCTGATGAAATCACTGCCATCTTCGATGATGTCGTTTACAGCAAGGTTAGACTGTTACGTAGTGTATATATAACTCATAGCGACTGAGATTTTTGTACTCTAGCGCGTGCTCTTACTCAGACACTTTCTGTGAGGATTTTATCCAGCCTTTATCTTACTCCCCTTACCCTGGGGGGGGCACTCGCTTCGAAACAGGGTAGGGGGTGCCCCCGGGACCTTGAAAACCTGACCCTGTCGCAAACCGCTTTGCGCCCTAAAATACACCCTGTCTCAATATACTACACTAAAATGTATACCCTGTTGCAGTATTGCACATTTCGGTTATGTCCTGTCCTGTCAATATAGGCAGATATTGGTCTAATATCGGCCTGGTGATATTGGCCCAATATTGTTTTGCTAATATTGGGCCGATATTGGACCAATATCTGCCTATATTGATTGGTCCAATATTGGCCTGGTGATATTGGCCCAATATTGTTTTTGCCAATATAGGTCCAATATCAGCTTGATGGGTGTGTATCTAGATAACCCTGTGTGGCAATAATGATGCTCGGAAAATATACCCTGTGCCAATAATGATGTTCGGAAAATATACCCTGTGCCAATAATGATGTTCGGAAAATATACCCTGTGCCAATAATGATGTTCGGAAAATATACCCTGTCCAGCGGCACGTCCCCAGTACCTTTAACAATGGGAGTGCCCCCCTCCGGGCCCCTTGCCCACCTGAAATTTCAAGGGATTCAGCATGCAATACATGCGAATGAAGCTCACATGTTGAATGTCAGAGGCAGTTGAAAGAAGTGACCTGCTCTTGGGTAGATATCAAAAAGTACATCACAAACAGTGCATTTCTGCAATACTCTAGACAGTTTAATTAGCAGTGCTACTGCACATGAAAATAAACAAGAAACCTCTAATGTGAAAGAATTTAACTGAAAGAAATGCGGGACAATTTGTTTCTGAAGCAGTTTTCATGGGATTTGTGGGCTCTCCGTTAGAATGCCAGCGGTGTGGCACCCCATGCAGGATGCTTCGTTCCTTACTGTGTTCACTCTACCAGGGTGCGTCAATGCTGAGGTATCTGGAGAATTTGCTTGGAGCTAGCGTGTACAGAGATGGTCTAGAAGGACTGCTCAAGGGTCTAGCGTTCAAGACGATGGTGACCGATGACTACTGGGACTACATGAGCCGTGCTTCTGTGAGAAATGGGACATCACATTCTGCATACCTTTTTCCAATTCTATATTTACTAGGCTTTACCAGACACATTTCCGCGAAAATGTATTGCGGCTGTTCCAATTATGTATATGGAATATATATCCAATTCCTGTATTGAAGCGATAATATATTAATCCATTGGGAATCATCCGGCTTGCCTATGTGACAAAAGTAGGTAATAACGAGGTGACACCGAATTGATTCCCCTGTGTTTGTTCTTAATTTGCCTCTGCCTTTTTTAAACGTTGATGATTTGGAGTAATCAGCGTTTTTATTGAATGCACCTATCGTTAGTGCTGAAACTGTTACGACGCATTACTTGAAATGACAACATGAGGGACTAGAGTAAGGGTGAGCGCACTTGAGTGCACATTTGAAACCTTCAGGGAAAGGATGTGAAAACGATGATGGACCCGTGGACGCTGCAGATGGGATACCCCGTCATCGACGTCACGCGCGATCCGAAGGACAGGCTGAAGGTCACGCTGCGTCAGGAGCGATTCCTGTTGAACCCAGACGCGGATCTATCCACGGAGCAATTCCCTTCGCCTTTTAAGTACGCAGCCACGTTCCCGTAGCATGTTCAAACAGTTCGAACGACGATTTGCGAAAATGTGGCATTTGTTTAATGCCACGTAGCAGGTTCAAACACCGATTGCAAGAAATTTGGCATTTGTTTGATGCCGGATCGTCGATATTTTCACAAGAGCAATTATTTACGGCTGCTTCTCTGGGCTTTGCAGTTACACGTGGGACATATACATTGAGTATATCACGTCTGACAACCCACACACTCCCTATAGAGTTCATATGAAAATGGGGGAAGAAGGTAAGTTTTGCCACGATAATAGTAAACTAATTGATATACGTGATATTCACGGAGAGGGGGGGGGCTTTTTCGACGAGCGGGAAACGAGTCGGATAAACGCTATAAGCTTTTTGCGAAGTTCGGCACGTATTACGCGTAATAGGGGGCAGCATGGCAGAGCATTCCATCTATTTGTGCGCGTAGTAGAGGGCAGCACCTCTGCGCGGAGCATCGTGTGAGGCCTCGCTCTCGTCCCCTGTTTGCAGTGCGCCTCGACTGGCCGGACGTCGAATGGGTGAAGCTCAACTACGGCTTCACGACCTTCTGCCGCGTGAACTACGAGCTCCAGGATTGGCTGCGGCTCAGTCAGCTGCTCGTCGACGACCACACTGCGGTGAGTGAGTGGCGCCACCTATGTGGACATGCCGGCTCTCCCTAGGGGCGGTTTGTTGGCGGCGGGTCTAATGGCTGCCCACTTGTTTGCGTAAGTCAGCTGCCGTGAGATGGAAGGCAGTCAGAAAGATGGAGAGGAGGAGGTGGAAGGGTCATTTAGAAAGGTGTGGAAGGAGAGCTCAGGGGACAGACAAGACATTTTTAAGAAGGATCAGATGATGTAGTGGCAGGAATAGCTACATACATGTAGGACATAGAAGGGAGGGACGTAATAGGAATGACGTGCCGCACCGAGGAGGCATGACCAGGAAGAAGCGAGGACGGACGGAGAGATACACGAGAGAGACTCATGAACTCATAGGAAGGAGGAGACGAGGGAGAACATCTTGGAATGATATTAACAGCTTTTGTTGTTATTGTTGCTATTATTATTATTATTATTATTATTATTATCATTATTATTATTGTTATTACTATTATTATTATTATAACGCGTCTTACTCTCCCCCTGCCCCGCAGCTGGCGCCGTCCGACCGCGTGAACCTGCTCTCGGACGCGTTCGCTCTCGCGGAGGCGCGTCGCCTCGACTACGGCGTGCCGCTCAACATGACTCGCTACCTCGACCGCGAGGACCACTACGTGCCGTGGCACGGCGTGTACCGCCGCCTCGCTGACATCTCCACGCTGCTCTACTATAGACCAGACTACGACCTGCTCAGGGTGGGTATGGTGAATCTCACAGGGATGGCTGGGTGATTGCTGGGGCGTGGAGGTGAATCTCACGCAGAGATACGACCTGCTCAGGGTGGGTATGGTCACTCTCGCGGGGATGGCTGGGTGTAGGGAGTAGGGGCGTAGAGGCAAATCTCACACGAACTGCTGCAGGGTTGGCCGGCGTCCGCCCGCGCCGGGCCTTTTGGGGTTTCCCTTTGGAGGTATTTATGCAGTAACGCCGCCTCTATATAGGTTGGAAACCTGTCTATAAAGGACACGTTTTAGGTTTCCCCATAATTATCATTTAGACACAGGTTGTACTGCATATTGTTTGCACATAACGTACAGAGAGATTAATCGATCCAAAAGGATGATTTCATCCATAATTGAATAAGATAATTATTCTCTTGCCACCAAAAGAGTTTGAATCATCTTTACGTCCCGGCGGAATATTCACAGCTTCATCCGCCAACATTGCCGGTACCGTCTCCTCTATTGCTCGTAACGCGGGCGCGCTTTATTCTTTTTCGCAGAGGTACATCGTCGCGAAGGTCGACCCGAGCTTCCAGAAGCTGGGCTGGGACGTCGTCGGCACGCACCTGGAGAAGAGGCTGCGACCGGACCTCATCGAACTCGCCTGTTGGCATGGCGACGCAGAGTGCATCCGCGTGGCAACCGACCTGTTCACCTCGTGGCTCGAAGCGGAAGCATAGTAAGAATGAGTAGATTTCCACGTTGGGTAATGGCTCGAAGTGTAGGAATAGTACGATTAAATACGTTTCTACGTGGTGCAGTGGCTCGGAATGGATGAATAGAAAGATTGAGTAGATTTCCACGCAAGATTGTAGCTTGAAACGGGGAAATAGTTAGATTGAATGTATATCCACAAAGGAGAGTGGCTTGAAGTGGAAAAATAGTAATGTTGAATACATTTCCACGTGAGGTAGCGGCTCAAAGTAGAGGGGTAGTAAGAATAAGTACTTTTCCACGTGGGGCAGTGGCTTGAAGCCCAAGAATTGTAATATTGAATCAATTTCCACGCGTGGGTAGACGTGCTCAGGTGATTCGAATCGACGTGCGTACGTTGCGACGAGGTGGTAATTGTTTGGAATTTTTGCCCGTTTCCAGTTTGCATCCAGACGTGCGAAACCTCGTCTACAAGTACGGTATGATAGCGGTCGGGGGCACCGATGAGTGGGAGATCATGTGGCAGCGATACAAGAGTGAGATAAACGCTCAAGAACGAATCAACCTGATGTACGGACTGGCTAACAGCCGCATGCCGTGGGTTTTACAGAGGTACGACTATATATTATGCTTACAATAGCCGACATCCACATAGTTTAGATTAGCGCAATTATGTGCTAGCTAGAGTGTCTGCATCCACTGTGTTTCTAAGACTGGCATCTCTCTGAAAGTAGATTTAGTTGTGTTAGATGTGACCCGTACAAAAAATTCAACTTTCTTTAATTTTTGAGATTTCTTCTGTCTCTCGCTCTCTACCTTGGTCCCTCCCTTTCTCTCTATCCGGCTCTGTTTCTTTCTCTCTATCTCTATCTTTCTCTCTATCTCTATCTTGCTGTCACTCTACCTCTCTATCACCCTCTCATTCTCACAGGTACCTGATTCTGGCGTGGGATTTGAACAATGTTCGCATGCAGGACTACTGGACAGTGCTTGGCTACATAGCCGACAACCCTGTAGGAAGACCGATCGTATGGGATTACTACAGAGCCAACTGGGACAGCTTTGTCGAACGGTGGGTAATCGCTGATCAGTAAAAAAGCTTTCATTCGGATATATACTGATATACGTACATTACGTTCTCGCGTTTGACACGTTTCACGATGCATTGAAATTATTTGAACGTATGATGTTTGAATTAAGAGCTGCACTTTAAGGAAAGTTAGGCAGATAGAGGGAAAGAGAAGAGAGAAGGGACAAGGGATGAAGAAGATGGGAGAGAAAGAGGCAGAAAGTGCCGGCATCTGAAGATTAAAACCTACAAAACAAATCTCACCCCAATCAAATCCACCCGCGATCAAAGATCAAACCCACAAATCTCTGTGTGATGAAGAATGGTCTCGTGTTCACATCCCTCCACGCGTTCGTGTGTTTCCGCATTGCAGGTTCACGCTCAACGATCGAACGTTCGGTCGTTTCATTCAGATAGTGACAGCCAGCTTTACGACCGACTTCCATCTGCAACAGGTTCGTCGTGCATAGTGCATTTGTCTAGTGACAAAGCAAGTTCTAATTCTGAAATGTTACAGTGTTATTTACCTCGTCACATTGCCAGCTAATATACATTCTGACAGGAAGATGGATTATTTGTAATGAGCAGACTTACAACGCCATTATAGGGCGTACAAATGTAGCATCGTTGGCTAATGACTTCAGTGGTTAGCTGGGGACGAAGAGGGAGCATTGGACAAGCTGGGAGGAAATTTGAAAGCAGCTTTTACAGTTTACAACCTGTGTTGACGTTTCAGATGCTGGACTTCTACGCGCAGCATCCGGATGCGGGCGCCGGGGAGTTGCCGCGGCGACAAGCCCTGGAGACAGTGCAGGGCAACATCGCGTGGCTTCAGCGAAACGAAGCGGACATCATCGACTGGCTGCATCTCTACGGGAATAGTTAATTAGTCGACGAAGATTGTTTCCACCAATGAGTGCGTCTATATATATATATATATATATATATATATATATATAAGTATATTATTAATATATATATTAGTAGGCGCTCATCCCCGGTGCCACACTGTTTGTCATCTTGCTGGTGAAGTATCGACGTTACCTACGTTGATATTCATTTGCGATGCGTGCCCGTGTGTGTGTCAGTGTGAATGGCGTGCAGCCACCGCGTATATGTGAGCTGCGAAGAACAAGGAAAAATAAGGAAAACGCGTGCATCTGCAACACGGTTTAGTTGTGTACATATTATCGTATTTTACTCCTGCTATTATGTACATTGTAATAGTGAAGTAATCGCGCATACGTGAGCGTCGAACAAGCGGTGTTTATAATAATAAATATGTATTACTGTTTAGCTTTCGACAGGACATATATGATGTCTGTCTGTCAGAATATCTGTCAGCCTTCTACAGACACATTGGTAGACTCATATGAATTATTATGATGCTATACTACAAGTCGGTCTACGTTAAATTAGCATGCAAGTTCACATGAATGTATATGAAATTATTCACGCGAAGTGTATTATTAATTATATAATCGGGCTTAAATAGATACAATATATTTGACAAGTACGTGCATAATTGTTTTTATGTCTTTTGTCGATCTACTGCAGAGGAAAATTGTTTTAATGCAGACACAGTGCCTACTCCGTAACTGCGTGGCATTCTCAAAACACGTGACGTCTGCACAATATTCGATAATAAAATGTTACCAGCGTCGTGGACAATCCCCCCCCCACGGCATTACGTGATTAACCTGCTATACATGTGCCTGATGCTGGAACGACAACGCGTAGTGCCTTCTAACTACCCTGCGAGCCAAACATATATACCGATAATCATATATATAAATTATATCGGGTGCATAATATAGAAACTGTGTATTATGACACTCCTGATTACATGATACCGATAATTATATAGAATGTAATTATTATAATAACGTGAAAGGCGCACGCAGTATGGCTGGATCGTCTGTGAGTGACGTCACCGGTGATGCCTCGCAGCGATGCGCGTTGGATGTCGGTGCAGAGTTCTCTGTTGTTGGACGAATCGTTGCGGAGTCGTAGCTCTTTCCAGGCGTTCGTTGGCCAATATTATATGTGCGAGTGCCGCGCACAACGTTTCAACAGGAGACGATGCTGGGGAGGTGTGGTCGTTTGGCAAATAGATGAGGGATGCGTGCGTGTGCTTGTTTAGCCATTCATCATCTCAAGAAACTCTAAGAAAATTAAAAATAAGCTAGATTATTATAATAGGTTTTATATAGACGGGACGAAGAATTTATGTAGCGCGCGCAGTACACGCACGCACGCAACGCGCGCGCGCGCGCACAACACACAGCACACACACACACACCACACCACACACACACACACACACACACACACACACACACACACAGCACCACACACATAAATAGAAGTAAAACTAGCTAACACAGTCTCGTACCTTCAAGTCGACAGTGTTGCTGCCATCTTGGTCGATTTCTCTGATCATGCCATCTAACTCCTCCTCTGTCATCTTGTCATCGACTGCCCGCAATATCTCCTTCAGCTCCTTCACGTTGATGTAGCCGTTGTTACCCTGCAGACAAAGATGGCTCTGTTAGAGTGTCATATACGTAACTCTGACTAGCTGTGCAAAAACCGTGTGTGTGTGCGTGTGCGTGTGCGTGTGTGTGTGTGTGTGTGCGTGTGTGCGTGCGTGCGTGCGTGCGTGCGTGCGTGCGTACCGTACGTGCGTACGTGCGCGCGCGCGCAGCGGCGTGTGTGGTGTGTGTGTGTGTGTGTGTGTGTTACGTGCGCGCGCACTGTGTGTATGATTGTGAAGACATCTTAGGTCTAAGCCTAGTTAGACTAGAGTATCTCTCTGCCTGCAGTAACGGCGATACATGTCTCCGGCGAAATGTACGGGGATGTCAATAGTTGATGATGGATGGGACGCAGATTCGTCAGACCGGGAAGGAAACTTTTGTCATAATTAGATATTTGCCTCATCCGACCTGGCCTTAACACACGAACACATACACGCGCGCACACACACACGCGTACACACACACGCGCGCGCGAGCACACACACACACACACACACACACACCACACTACACACCACACACACACACACCACACGCACACACACACACACACTCCCTCTCTCTCTCGATCTCTCTCTCTTTCCACACGCACACACACACACACACACACACGCGCACAACGCACACACACCACACACACACACAGCACACACACACACACACACACACAACACACATACACACACACACAACACACATACACACACACACACACACACGCACACGCACACGCACAGCACACACACACACACACACACACACACATACACACACACACAACACTCTCTCTCTCTCTCCTCTCTCTCTCTCTCTCTCTCTCTCTCTCCACACACACACACACACACACACACACACACACACACACACACACACACACACACACCACACATCCACCCCTCCCCAGATGGTAGATGTCGCGTAACTCCACACGCAGCCGCGGACGTCGCTACAAAGCTATACCTTGTCATAAAGTCGGAAGGCCTCCGCAGCTGCTCGGTCATATCCTCGTCCGACTCCAGTATGAACTTGACAACGACCATCGCAAAGTCTTCAAAGTCCATCGAGCCAGTGCCTGCTAATTATCAAGGCAGTTATGATGTAAGGAGACAGTGCATGGATAGTTTTTCGGATATTAAGAATGTTTAGTTTAGCTATTGGTCAACCAGACGGATATGTTTTATGGACGGTTCTCTCTTTATCTTCTTTATTATTGCTGACGGTATTCTCGTTTCCGCTATATCTTTATTCCTTCCTCGATATAATTCCTTCATTTTCACCTCCCGATCCGTTTCTTTCTCTTCCGATACTTCCTCCTCTTCTTCTCGTCTTTGTCATCAATCTTCACTCCCTTATTTCCTTCCTACATCCCTCCTTTATGATTCCAATGAAGGATTTCTCCTTAAATTATTTTCCTACGCCTCATTTATCCTTCAAGTGGAAGGATTTCCCACCTATTTCTCACCCTACAACCCCATTTATCTATCGAGTTGAAGATTTTCCCATTATCTTTCTCGTTTCGTCTGGTACTCGTCGTCGCTCTTCTCTGCCGTGTCGTTGTTTCTGCTCTCCTGTCTCCGCGGCGGCGGGTGGTGATGGTGATTTATGATGGTTTGTGCAGACATCCGCCGACACAGCAATAAGCAACACATGCGCGACCCGCCGCTTGGTAGCGCGTCAGGAGCGCGCATATACCAGCGACATAACATGCAGCACACCGAGCAACATCGTGTAGCAACATGGCTCATAAAACACAACATGCGCAACGTGGCATGGGCAACATCGCAGTGTAGTACAACGCAGAGCAATTAATAGATCATAATAACGCAATATGCGCATACGTAGCACGAACGGCGCAGACACATAGATTAATTAACAGTCCATAATAGTGCAACATGCGTTGTATATCACAACATAGCGAAATAAACATATAACACAAAATACACAAAATAGCACAACATAACAACCAACATAGCAAACAAGCACAAACATGACCCACAACATACCACAACATACCACAACATAACACAAACATAGCACAAACATAAACACAACATAGCACAACATAGCACAACATAGCCACAACATAGCACAACATAGCACAACACAGCACTCCATAGCACACATAGCACAACATAGCACAACATACCCCACTCCATAGCAACAACATAAGCACAACATAGCACAACATAGCACAAAATAGCACAACATAACACAACATACACACATAGCACAAATAGCACAACATAACACAACATAACAACATAGCACAAACATAGCACAACATAGAGCACACCCAGTTTATGTGCTTGTGATAACGTATATCTACACCATGCACGCACACGGACACACAAGCATGCGCGCACGCGCGTACACACACACACGCACACGCACACGCACACAACACACACACGCACACGCACACGCACACACACAACACGCACACACACACTCACACACTCACACACTCACACACACACGCACACACGCCACACACGACACACGGCACACACACCACTCACACACTCACACACGCACACGCACACGCACACGCACACGGCACACGCCACGCACACGCACACGCACACGCACACGCACACACGCACACCACATCCCCCAAACACCATACCAACACCCTCTACATACCTTCTGGATCGGCTTCTTTTACCATCGGTCGGATCTCCTGCATGCCCATCGTGATGCCCATCTCTCTGAGCACGAGTCCCAGATCCTTGGTCGCTATCATTCCGCTGCTCTCACGGTCATACTTGGTGAACGCGCGCTGGTACTCTATAACAAACGCGAACAGTATAATAATAACTAGAAGGAATAACAAGAACAAGAAGAAGATGAGGAGGAAGATAAAGAAGAAGAAGAAGAAGAAGAAGAAGAAGAAGAAGAAGAAGAAAGGAAGAAAAGGCAGTGCGA